GACCTAGACAGGAGAACGATTGAGGTCCCCGGCCAGAGCTCTTGACTTAAAAGCCCAACCGCAAGATAGCGGTAGTTGGCAGAAAATCCAAGTGCATTAGCATTTTTATGGAACAAGAAGATACACGTGTTACAGCCACCAACCTGGAAGGACAATGGACTGCGTTGGTCAGATCTCCGACCAATGACCAATTTTGTAAGAGAGACTCTGCGAGTATCGCACGGGAACCCCGAGTTATAGCTCAACGGGCCGCGGAGGCACACAAGCCGTCACAACACTGTATGGTTTAGTTTCTTTATGACGTGCAGATGCACCGGCGAATAAAAACGCGCTGAGGAGAATGCGTTCCTGAGAATGTCTGATAAAAATAGTGACCTGCTCCTTCACAAGCATTTTATCCTGTGTTAGTACGAGAACTCTAAAATACGTACGGTCTTTTAATTTCATGAAAATAAGTGGAATGTCAAAACGTTTATTGAAAGGCTCCAGGTAATATTTTTTGTGGGACTAACAAATGTGCACCTGCATCAGAATAGAAAGGATGTTGATCAGACACCGTTGGGTTAAACAAAGAAGCAAGTGAACCTAACGTTTTCTAGCCTGATTAGGTTTGATCAAACCTTCTCCGATGTGGGGACTTACTTTGCATTTTGTTTTCTGCGCACGGCCTCATCTAGATCCGATTTTATTCCTCACTGAGCAGTCCCAGTTGCATTTGAATTTCAGATGTCCTGAGGTTTACTGGGCAATAAAGATTTAGCTGTGCTGGAAATGAGTTACCGACCTACAACGATCAAGCACACCATTGCTCTGTTCGATTTTCCCAAACCAGAACAACCAGAATATTTGTTCAGATTCGTCCCCATACCAAATAGCCGATCCTGAATAACGGACTGCGAGGATGATTTAGAATTATATTCATAAAACCGAACATTTTGGTATCTACGATCCGATTTCGACATGTCCATTTCGTAGAATCTCCGCTTATCGATGCATAAAACTTGACATTTTGCAGTATGCTTCTTGGCGAACCATTTTATTTTAGTAGATCGTAATAGAAATCCATCCAAAAACGCTCATGGTTACGATTTATTGTCAGCTTATCAATCGACACACAGTTTTACGAAATTTTAATCCGCTGAATAGCTGGCAGTGGATAGTCGGTTGCAAAATCTCAGACAATAATTTTACACCACTAATTCACCCAAACAAGAAAATTTATGTGAGTTGGTGGAGCCTGGTTGTGAAAAACTTGGAAACATTATTCTCATTAATTCTCGAAAATGAGTTACACCTTCAGAGCGAACTTGACCAGATCTGCTAGTGACCTAATACCCTTTCATCGTGAGCTGTCAGTCAGAATATCAGAGGAATACGAAATCGTAGTAAAAAAACACCGCCGACTGATCAATGAACCAAATGCTCTTCAGGTCTGAGCCAATTTGAATTTTTTAGCACGCGGTTCCAATCATGTTGAACTACTTTCTGTTAATGTGCTGTGAAGGCGTTTTGATGAATTATTAAACAGTTTTTTAATGTTCCATGCAAGGTCATATAAAATATTCCTCTATCTACTCACAGTTCGTAGACAGTTTAGCAACTGTTCAGTCACATGACAATAATGGCCGGATAGGAGGAATATGCGAAAATGGTAGCCTCTCTTGTTGTTAATCGGATAGGGCTGTGAAAGAAAACCTCTATTTTAGTCAGTAAAACATCAGGAATGTTATCGTTAAATATTTATCCAAACGTGGCAAGTGTGAAAACAGTGAGGAACCACACAAAGGAAAATGCGAGAAGATATTGAAGTACAGCTCTGCCAGCGTAGGACTAATGCTAAAACAGTCCGTTCTGCAACGACCACTCTGAATGCAGCAGTTTTGTAATCATCAACTCTGCTCAATGAAGTACACTGAGATGATGATAACAATCCAGAATGCATCCATTTTCACAGAGGTGCTAGTCACAGCTTAGCCGCGTTTGGTGCGCGTACTATTAACTGCCTTTATGATTGACGTACTTGCCTCTATTAATACAACCATGTCTGTGGTAAACTATGCTTCCCTAGCGGAAGCGGTGTATTAGAGTTTTTGGGTGAAATTAAGAGGGTGGCTGCACGAAAGTGCTCTCCAGGGCGTCCTTCAGAACGCAATAGTTCCTAATTGGAAAGTTGTCGTTTTTAAACAACAGCCGCATGGATAGTTTATTTATGGCACGGTGGTGAAATGAACGCCAAAGTGAATGTGGACTTATCCGCCATTACAAAATCATGAATATATACATTTCTTTCAGAGCGAAATCTAAGATTGGAATCTGAATGCGTTAGGGGAAAAGATTCGGAAATTGCGCATAGAAACGCTCCGCACAGTTTTCAGTGAAGCACTGTACTTATGTCATGAACCATTCTAGTGATTGATGTGTATGGTTCCCGACAAAATAGCATGTCAAATGCGTTACGCTTCAACGTTTCGCTGGCGAGTTCGGCATTTTGAAGCAGAGTGTATACGATATGGTCAGCAGGCTTTGTACATGTGAGGACGTTTTGCAGATGACAGCAGCNATTTTAAAATATTGGAAAATCTAGGGACCAATGAAATTTTCCATTGCAACCCCATCTAATCGTCTAAGTGACTATTTATGGAACAAAATTGTACATCGTTGGTGCACACTTCTGACAGGTTTCCTAGACGTTTTCAATAGGAGCAAGATTAAGTGGTTGCATGTCATTTGAGAGTCCATATGTAAAAAGTGAGTGAACGTGAAAATTGACTTGGCGTTTACTCAACATACGTGTACTATTTGGACAAAAGCTGTGGTGGTCAGGCGAACCGAAATGGAACAGTTTGTTCAAAATGTATGATTTTATCTCAGTAAAGCCAGTGGGCTGTTTTCCTCGGTTCCTGTCCTAAGTTGCACCCTCATTGTGCCCCTGCACCCCATCCTTTTTTACATGTGGAACCTTAAACGTAATCGCACGTAGCTTCCTGTTTGTTGACCTCAGTCCCTCTGTGGTTTCACACCTTAACCCCCTGAAATCTCGTAGCACACGTCTTCACACTTTCGTTTTATCCGTTCCACGGTGCTCATTTATTCGTATGCGCGTCCTCATCTATGTCTGTAATTCTTTGTACGAGAAAGAACCCTGAATTTAGGATACATAGAAGCTCCTGTCCATCGTCAATTTGTTCGCTGACCTTGACAATAATGTCGCGACCGTTTCACCACCAACACAGATGACATCACAGAGTTTCTTGAGAGACAGATCGAAGCTGAGCATAGCTTTAAACAGAGGTGAAGAAGGATGGTTTTGGTTGGATTAACTGTATGTTCAGTTTGACCAATCATCTTTGCTACAAAATTTTGTGGGTAAATGAGGCATCGCATGCCATCTCACAATACTTCGAAATTAATAGCGGGCTTGTTTGAACTTTGTCTTTGATATCCTCTGTGAAGCTGTATTAACGCGTCAGAAACTTGTCTCGTTTCATCCAAATACAGGGCAAATACGTGTGCAATGTAGTTTTTGAGCTAACAAGACTAGGTGGTAGGCGTCCGGGAGTTTGAATTAGGATGCTGGTGGCCTCCATTTAATAATATATAATTTATCCGTGCCAAAATTGAACTATTGATAGGCACTGAGATTTTTACGGGAGTTCTGTTGCTGAAAAAATCTTGTTAATTCGTTGCACAATAATTCTTTCATGTATTATATGACAGCACATTTAGTTACTCTTTCACAAAGTCAGTTAAACTGAAACCTGGGCTGTGAAATTTAAAAATTCTCTCGATGATGCCCAAGTTGGGCGCACACTGCCCTTATTAATGGTGTTCCATGAAGAATCAACTTTAGAGGTATTCCGAACCATTGACAACCTTCAAATTTTTTACATCACATGGTTTGCTCTGACCTGTGCGAAAACCACTCTAAGAACATAAACCGAAGAAATGAAGAAAAAGTTACCAATAAGGTTGCTGAAAACTCCTCAGTAGCATGCGACCAGCCTCGCCCTTCATGAAGCTTATAAGATAAGTATAGTTCCCGAGTTTTCATCAAATTTGTATGTTAATTAAACCCGAACGCATTCCGCGAAGTACACCCGTTTGCAAACCAGTCTGGCTGAAGACTATCATAAACTAAAGTTTAAGCTGGGGATTAAACCGAGTCTCCCGCAAACTTGTGATTGCTCTGCCGCTCATTTTCATGAGCATTTCATTCTTCCCTAGGAATAAGAGGGTAGATGTCAGGCCTTAACAACGAACAGAAAAACAATTGTGAAGATAAATGTGAGCAGGCGGTGTCGCCTGAAAACTCAGATGATATTGCTGAAGCAGTTCTCATGTAAAACCCTAAATAAAATGGTTGATTTAATAATAATTGTTCTGGTTTGAAACACACATGAAGCCCGTATAATTTTATGATATTTTTAATGCCATTTATTGAGATCACAATAAATCCGAATGTGTAATGTTTGAACTGGTAGAAGAGGCCGTTGGCCGGAACCTGCATTCTCTTGAAATTTAGGAGGCTTCTTGTAATAACCTCCAGAATTTCCCAAATTGTTATGCACCCTGTGGGACACGACTGCTGTCGAAAAGTAAGGAAACTGTTTAGGGTTCCTCTTGACGGAGGAAATTTCCTATTTGACTTTGTCTGCGATCGAGTGAGAAGATGAGATTGCGGTTGAAACTACTGACCAGTTTCTCTAGTTTTTTTGCCAAACTTCTAAAGATATCATAGAACTCATATTTTATCCTCCATTTTTACTTGAACGACACAATAACCGAGGGAATCTTAATGAATGGAAAAAAAACCGTGAGTTAGATATGTAATCTTAGCCCACCTAAGTTTGATGGAAACGACAGATGTTTTGCGACGCTCTGGAGTAACCTGATAGTTATGGCATTCGCTTACGTAGATAGAATGCTTAGAACAGCAAAGCGTTAGATACAATCTTCGAAACAAACGGAAACAATAAAATTACAAACTATGACTGACTCACGAGTACATGACTTGGCGCTCTGTGCGGTAGCGCGCTCCCACGGCCGATCCATAAATCCCGATTTGCATCGTTCACAGTCGTCACCGTCAGTATTATGCTCACAAGCACATCTGAGATGACCCGATGCATCCACTATGCATTCCTTTGCATGACCGTTACATTTACATCGACCACCAATAGTTAGGTCAGCAAGTGCAAAGAACTCCGCAGCGGACAGAACGTCCGGTTCTGTTGGACTTAGTAGGTGTGGTCCGCTCAGAGGAACTTGTTCTACTTTTGGCACTAAAGCTTCGAAAGTAGAATTAGTATCGTTCATTGGTGAAGCGAAGTCCAATGGTGGTACCTCTAAGTCACCGTACTCCGTTTGCGAGCTACGTAAGTGGCGGTATCCAAAACGCCTCCTGTTACCTTCACCATAGGGCCCAATGTAACTAGCATCCGCAAAGGCTCGTGGATTGTAGGGTCTTCGAGGTTTTCTTTTTGAAATGTACGGCGGGCGGTTGGGTGCAAGGTGTCGTAAAATAGAGGAGGGAAGAGGCTCAACTGTCCGTTTGGCACGATAATCAGCGGTCAGAGAAGCAGGGAAACGCATCATACTAATGCGAACATCCGTCATGGTCATCCAGTCTATTAGAGCAGGACTCCAAGGTTGTGTTGCTGGGCGTCCCAGAGTGGTGCTAAAGGAAATTACCGAATTCAAAGTTGCTTCAAACTCCCCTAATTCAATAGAGGAGAGGTTTCGCCTGACGTGTTTATGCATGTTGATCGAGGATCTTCTCCTTCGGAAGTTCTTGGTAAAGTAATCTTCGCGAGGTGGGAGGCCAACACATATGACCTCCTGCAGATTAGCTGTTGTAATGTGCGTTTTGTACTCGTGTGTGGTTGGAAGTCCGAAAGCTCTGAAGCAATCCGTGGAGAAGTAGTGCCATGGACGCCAACTTCGTCCAAAGTCAGAGGACTTGTAAATAGCTATAGAATCTGGGATAGCCCCTTCTATGCACGGTTGTAGTGACACATAGTCCACTTCAAATCGTTTTCCAAGAGATATAGTCAGATTGACGGCCTGTTCTGGCCCTCCAGCTCGAACTAGAGAAGATGCCCAGCATGTGTAATTCCTTGTGCTGTGTGCATCGGTCAGATGGTCAGGTGAGAAACGCCGTTTTCTGGAGTTGCCGCTGCACACATGGCAAGTTCCATCAGCCACACATAAGCGCTGCACTTTAAAGACACCACATGTGGAGGTCGTTTGGACAGGGCGACCGTACGCAATGTTTTGAAACGGTGGCAGGCAGTTGACATCTTCTGAGGCCACGCGGCAGTGAGAACTGGCTGCATCAAACGACGGTGGCAGTTGGCTGGCCTTGTGATACGGAACAGTTGATCTCGATGGGGTGTTATTAAACTCCGTTGACCGTGGATAGATAGCATTTTGAGGAAAATAGTAGGCTGCGTTAATGTAAAGCCCTGTTAACAAGAGCAACAACCACAGGGCAAACGTCATCTGCAATTCAGAGTGCATTTCAGTCTACCATCAGCCGCGAGAGAGGCTAACCACCGGCTCACGATTATTTACACAAATTGACGGAAATCCAGCCATTCTATAATGGTAGCTGAAGTGCGCCAGGAACGTATTGTGCGAAGCCACGGACTGTTAAAGCGGCACGTGCGTTTGTTCGATTTACCGACCAAACTGACCTGCCTTAATCCTGAATAGCAATCCCGCCTGCGGCGGCTTTTTGTGTGCGCGTGTGTACCAAGTCACGTTTCGTGTCTCCGTGCGCTCGCGCGCACGTGCGTACGTGTAACTGAGCTTAACGTCCACCAATCAGCCATTCACAACAAATTTCACTCTGTGTATGACGCTCACAGATTATGCCTAGCTTCGGACCCGTTTCGTTGGAAAGGTCCCACAAGGCTTCCATAATTTAAGCTAACTCGTAAGTTTCAAATGGGGGGTGAAAGTCATTCAGCAAAACGTATGACGATGAATAGTAGCTGAATGTGAATTTCCGAGCTGATAATTGTAATAGTCTCATCCACCAATTACTGACGTGAAGTAACGGTGTACAAGTGAGTGAAACGAGTAAAATTTGGATCATCAAATAATTATTAGTTTCAGCAGATTTGCTTCCCATTCTAGAATCCTTACCTCAGCACTTGATTATCAGCAATTCTTTATAGGATGACTATCCTACTTACCTCGACTCGGACTATTAACTACCCAGGATTGCGTTGCACAAATATGTGATTCCTTGGCCTGCTGATCCTCTGGGGCCTGTATCACTCCACTGATGCAGGAAGCTAAATGTGTCCGATCCTGTGTGTCCAACCGCAAACCGTATAAAAGAAACTTGGGGTGTGCTTGTGGGAATTCTAGCCTTGCTCAATAGATTCGTGACCGGGCATAAATGGCTGGTGGTTAACGCCACATTATCCGTCATTGTGGGGAAACGAAAAAGTATGAAACAAAGCCCGTGATTGTTCATGAGGAAGATGAACAATATATTACGATATTTTGAAACGTTAAGAAGACATGAGAAAGCTGTCTGATCGTCCCTTACTCAGAAAGATCAAACTGACCAGACTGGTAAACAAATGATCGATGTTGAGGCAAACACGAAGGGGCTCATGTTTCACATGCACTTTATCCGAAAGTCCTAGGTGTGTATACGATTCGGGAATCAAACTGGAAGCAGCGGGCTGGTAAAAACATTGGGATCTCCCTTGGGTAGTGGATAGGTGCAATCGGCCCCCTCCTTCTGGAGCCCACAGCAGTTGTCCCTAAAAATGGATAAATTCGTTTCAATGTCATGAAGTTTGCATGAAATTGAATCCTAGATTGCTGGAGGAGCATAAAACCTCCAATACACATTGCTGAATGTTCACACATCTACGATAAATTTTAGTTGTAATGACTTCCAGATTAACGGGTCAACAATGACTCAAGAAGGCTAGCCTCGCGACGACTTTGACGAAGGACCACTTTACTAAGAGAGCACTATTTTATAAACGTGATACACTACTCATAAGTTTGCTGAAAACCATTCGACAGCCCACGACCGATTTTGCCCTCCTTGGGGCCCATTAACCAGGAGCAGTTCCTGAGTTTGCGTCAGCTTCGCATTCTACTTGAAACCAAATTGCACGGAATTCGGTTGCTACACTCTCATCGTGGGGAGAGTACCGGATTCGAAATGTGGACACAAACACACGTTTGGCTCACATGATTCCGAACATAGGCAGATGAACAATTCTCATCCTGCGCATGTACGTGACGGACGGCACATCATTTGACCTGTCACGTGGACACCGTCAAAACACTGAGGCCACCGGGGTAGGCAATGGGGAGTGAAGCTTGCCTCTTACGATGAAAGCAATTACCAGACGTTTGGACGCTTGCTTGAACATGCAGACATATGTGAGGCAAGGCAAAAACATGAGTCCAGGAGCAGGCCTGTCAGCTTCATGTTCTGGTTGAGCAACGTGACCTTTGGGAAGCCTAATTGGAGTTACGTCGAACGGGGATATTACTGTGATCCAAACCCCCAAAATAACAGCATCTGGCCTACAGAAACCGACAGGTTCATAGACTGCTGGGAGCTCTTCTGTTGCCATAATGGCTGGGGGACATCACAGTTACACCACTCACTTTCCAATTTCTCTGTTAGGCGAGCAGTTCAAACCTACACTCGGCGTAGTACAGAAGAATTCCAATTCGATGTGGAAACTTCACGTGAGCGAATTAATGTTTCTGTCACTATACTGTTCGTCGTTCACTAGTGGCATGGGTATGAAGATGGACTGAACTTTTCTACGAAGAGGTGCAAGAACTCGAATTTTTGTTGAAACTGTCTGTATTGGACATTTGTTTGCCAATGATAGGAGCTGATTTTGCACGTTACGGTGAACGAGTGCCTAGGATGAACAAGCCGGAAGCAGACCATGGAAAAAAAGTGTTCAAGCTTCATCGAGTGTACTCTGCGACTGAGATGGGAGCTTTATTTACCTGAAGTTTTCTCCTACCGGTGAACAATGAATCAGGTTTCATCATATGATGAATAAAGTTTCACATAGAAGATGTCCACAATGAAAACAGTTTTTGCACCCCAAAACACAAAATGAATCCAACAAACACACTCATTTGAAGATCAATTTGTTTTCATGGGAGACTCAGTTAAATCTCTCGTTTACGATATTCTTCGGCTGAATATACTGCACGAAGGTCCCCTCATGTTTCAGCTGGTACGATATTCGAGATATCGCAAGGAAACTACTCAAAATTTTACTGAAAATTCTTCAACAGCCGACGACTGGTTTAGCTCTTCTTGGGGTTTGTCAGGTGGGTGCGGTCCCCAAGTTTGGAACAACAGGCTGACGAGCAAGGTGCGCATGCATTGGCATTGCAGGCAAGTGTTTTTTTGTTATGGTTCGGTAAAAGTGTCTATTTTCCTGTTCGAGGTATCACGCCCTGTCATAGTGAAATCGGTCTTTAGTTTCATATTCAGCATAGGAAGCTAACTTATCACCCCACTTGTGGGGCCAGTGCTTATGATTGTTCACTCATATTTCCAAATACTTCCGTGAACCAACAAAAGCGTTGAGACATAAATGAAAATCAGCCAGATGGTCATCGTTAGTACTTAATTTGGTATCTATTTTGTACTGGCCTCCACTATTGAAAATGAAATTCATTATTCTGAAGCTTCACAGCCAACACAAAGTCCACAGGTATTAGAATGAAAGTCGAGGAAAAGTTACATCAACCATGTCAGTTGAATCCAAGTAGAACAAGTCACCCGAAACGTACTAGACTGTGCAACAGCTAAGCCTGGGCCTGATGTGGACGTGCCGCACACTCCATCGGCTTCCTCGCTTTTCCGGAACAAATCTTGTTATTCCGTCCGCTTGCTCCGTTGTTGCAATGGTTGAGATGATGCTCTTCGTTCGGTCCACCTTACTGACTCTGACATGTTTTCGGTTCGAACGCACGCACCGGTATGTCAGAAATACCGACCGCTTCGGCACGGCAAAATAGTCGGGCATTAGCTTGTTTGTTGTGGGCAAGTTACCCATGTTTGTGTACATCATGACAGAGTTTACCATTCAGACAATTGCTATCTTTAGCTTAATTGATAGCGCTACGTGTGTCTTTGCGGCACAATCATTCAGACATGATTGTGTGTCTGAAAGTAACACGACTGTGACAATGTGAACCGCGATGTTTTCCAAAGTGTACACAAGTCTAACTTCTATGCGGTTGAGGGTAATTCAAGTCAGTTTTGAACTGCGTTACAATCGAAAGGTTAATGGAGTAGAGTTACTCTCCAAACTTCAACCTGGAAGACGTTTTTGAAGGAGACGAAGCCCGGGATCGGTATCTACACTAACCAAGCATTTATATTTACGGATCCCTAAACAAAACCTTGGAGAAATTCGAAGCCAATTCACGGTAAATGCAGTGAAGTCTAGTTTCCTTTTCAATTTAACAAATCGGGAAATTCACTGTCATCCTGTTAGGTATGGAAACAAATGTGTTTTACGATAGGGAGTGGAACATTCGATCGAAACCATGTAGAATGGATGATCCATAAGGCCCCCCATAATCCAATTCAATCGCATAGACTTAGTTCTGGTACAATACCTCTTGAGTTTAGTGACTGCATGAAGTGAATCATTTGATCACATCTCCTCCATACCATGCGAGTTGAGATTTGGTCCAAATGGGAGGGTGAAAGAAGGCTCAGTAAGGCATGCTTTCTTTTTTATCATGTGATAATCACCTTTCTACACCACAGACTGAGTATTTAAGTTCGGGCTTGCCTTCTGGTTGTTGAATGTCAGTTTGTGTTGATTTTCATAAGCCCAAAATTAATCAGAGGATGGGCTGTGATTCGCACATATACTACTCAGTTTCACAATATCTCCACAGTATATACTTTATTGGTGTTGATTTGAAACCGCTGAAAAGGAAGAAGTGCCGCCATTGTTTTTATCTTACTCCAAAGAGTTTGGATACTCATACTAAATAATTTTGCAGAAGCGTTGTTTACAGCAGCAGTGAACGAACTCTGAGCAAAAGTCGTTACTTGCATTGTCCATTGGTTTCTCCAATCTCTTTAACCCACATGGGCAAAATAATTTTTGGCGCAGAGAGAAAAGACTGTCTGCTTCAAGCACGTAGATGAGACTTCCATTCAGTTTACTACCACAGGCACTGAGAATTTACATCTCACGCAAGTTGGTGCTGCTCAACTTTAGAACTGATTGAATACCCATCTATAATCAGCATTACAACAAGAAAAAGTTAACTTTAATTGAACCGAATTCTCCAATCTCTTTTTGCCATTAACCGGTTCATCTTCAAGTGCTTTCTGCTTCGAAACCCATAGTCCTTAAGAAAAACTAGGGCAATATATTGGAAATATTGATAATGGATGCCAAAAATACCTGGCTTTCATCCACTTGTCCTTATTGGGGTGGTGTCACTCTGCCTGCAATTTACGGCTATGAAGAAGAAGGGTTGTTTCACTTTTTGATATCACCCTGAATTAGATTCCATAAAAGGCTAAAGTGATGCGGTTCCTAGGGCATGCTACATTTCTTAATCTGTGCTCATGTTTTTCAAGGCTCAAAAAATAATGCACACCAACCAGAAAATGTCTCATGAATGAAAAGCTCCTTTA